AAGCTAAGGAATAATTAATATTCAAGGAAAGAAGTTAAGAAAATAACTCACAACTTTAATAATCAACAAGCTTGAAGAGCAACACCAAGAAATGGAAGTTTAGCTCCTCATTTGGAGACTAAACATGCTATAAAAGTATAAAAGAAATACTATTCTAAACTGAGCTTAAAAGTATGGGAGAAGGAGTGATTATTTGTGAAGGAAAAGTGTGCTATTTATAGGTGTTTTCAACACCTTGGGCCGGGTACCCGACCGGGTCAAGTGCCCACCCGACCGGGTGCATGTCAAAATCAGATAATCTTCCACGTTCTTGTGTTTTCAGCACGTTAAAATGTCCCAGGTCACATCTAACCCGACCGGGTGAAATACCTCACCCGACCGGGTGAAATACCTCACCCGACCGGGTGATATAATTTCCTGAGCAGTTTCGTATTTCAAGTCTCACCCGACCGGGTGCAATACCTCACCCGACCGGGTGACTGTCCTGGGCAGCCAATAATCTTCACTTCAAAGTCTTCCTTTCCAACACCATAAATCCTAACTCTATTTTACAACTTACAAATGAGAACTAAAATACAATTACAACTAAAATCACACAAATGTTTACAAACTAAATAAAATGGTAAATATCCACACAAATCAAAGATAAAAAGATACATTTATGCACTACTAATTAGTGCATATCACTTCCTTGAACAATCCATCCATACTCAGTAGTAAACATACATAACAACATCATATTTAAACCAATGAATAGCAGAAATATTCAACGGTAAGTCATAAGCCACAACCGGCCAACAACATAGGCATGCAAACCCAAAATAGTCTTATAGCAAATCAAATATCCATGAGCAAGTGTTCAGTAGTTCGAAAGAAAATAATGAAGCACGAACCACGTCTTCCTAAGTTGATGTCACCCGTAAGAAGGTGCAAGTGGCAAGCCCTAGTTTCAACCTGAAAACGGTGGGCCCCCTGAAGGGGTCAGTACAAGTACCAAGCCAGTAGCAGGCTAAATATAGAATAACTAGCGTTTCAAGTATAAGACCCAAACATAGGGTGATACTTATATAAATAGCCTTTTCCCCCAAGTTAAGAAATACTTATTAGTATATATACACTTGGAAAATATCCGATCCGTAGATCACCATTTTATTTGGGAAAATAGTAATAGTCAATATTCTTGACTAAAAACCCCAACCCACCCATATACCTATGAGTGTATAAGACTCCTCCTTATCCATATTTCAATATCATGACCTATGAGTTTTGAGGATAACATAATCCTTGGGTACTCCAATTTATATTCGAGTGTTAAGGACTTTTAGTCCTAAGGTCCTCCACCAATTTGTTATCCGAGTGTTAAGGACTTTAAGTCCTAGGGTCCTCCACAAATTTATAACATGAGCGTTAAGGACTTTAAGTCCTAGGGTCCTCCACCAAGTTTATAATATGAGTGTTAAAGGCTTTTAGTCCTAGGGTCCTCCACCAAGTTTAATATGAGTGTTAAGGACTTTTAGTCCTACGGTCCTCCACCAAGTTTATAATATGAGTGTTAAGGACTTTTAGTCCTAGGGTCCTCCACCAAGTTTATAATATGAGTGTTAAGGACTTTTAGTCCTAGGATCCTCCACCAAGTATATAATCCTATGATCAACCTTCTATCAACCTAGATAGAGTCTATATCATATTTATTCATTCATAGCTAAATCAATTCATAAAGCTTATGTATCTCAATCCATGCAAAGCCATGCACTTATATAAATTTATAATTAACTAATATCAACCGGTATTAATGAATCCATTATCCATCGGTCAACGTTTTCGTTGACCGCCATTTCAAGTCTTGTACGTATCAACTTATTCATCACATAATTAATTTAATAATATTCATTTGTGCTTCTCTTACACTCAAGCAAATATGCATTCTTTATATAATTTCCTCATATCATATTTCATGCATAAACAATTAATTCCTTTCATACAACTTAACCATGTTGGCTAATCACATGTTTAAATATCTTTTAAACATCATTATGAATATATAACATTTATTTGGGTAATCTCATAATTAACCCAAAAATTATAAGATATTAAGCCGTCCACTCACCTCGAATTAGCGCTATCAAGTTCTACCCTCCTTGGTTGAACTCCGGCGAAACTCCGGCGACTTTTGACGAACTCTGGCGACAACTCCGGCGACTCTTTCAACTTTGTGAAATCTCTTGAAATACCTTAATCAAGTTCCTAATAAGGTTTTATAATCATAAAACCTGTATTAATACAAATAACCTCAAAAAGGTGATTTTCCGGCGAACCGGTTGTTTTGGCTCCTAAGTCCGTTCTTGGACATAGAACCATCTTCCAACCCATAAATCCATACTTATAACATGTGGAACCATACTAAGGGTCCTTCACATGATATATACCTCATATGGTAGAAGAAAAATAAAAGAGAAGTCATAACAAGGTCATTACCTTAATTATTCACACTTTTCCTAACTTTTGTCTTCTTAAAACCTCTTCCTTGGATCACTAAAGCTTGAACTCGAATTTGAAGCAATGGAGGTGAGTTTGGAAGCTCTTATTCTCTCCCTTGGATGGCCTGGCCGAGATAATGGGGTGAGGGGGTGATAGGATGACCTTTTTGGCTCATCTCACCAATTATGTGGGGAAAGGGTCCCATCCCACCTCATGGTTGACCTTCCTCCCACCTTCCTTTGTCTTTGCAGCCCCCAAGGGTCACATTTGAGCTGAAAAAACGTGGGGTGTCCCCCACTCATGTGGGAGGTCATCCCTTTGTGTCCCGATGTGTACAATCGGTCCCGAAAGTTGTATTTTTCGGACTGTTTTAATCATATTTTATTTTATCGGGTCAAATAAAATATATTCCTCACTCTCAATCATAACGACCCTTTGAAATAATATATATTCCAAAACTTTAATTTGGAAGTCTCCGAAATTCATTTTCGGGCTGTTATCTGTTAAATTGTCAAAACCGGTATTTGGGCCTCTTTTGCCCAATCGGTCAACTCTGGGCCTTTCCACGACCCAAATGAAATATCCACCACCATATAAATATTATCTTGACCAAGATGAATAAAATATGTGGTCTCGGGAATGTTGGGTGGTCCCCGCTCTCGATGTGGGTCCCACGTGCAATTTACTATTCACGCGAAAGAAATACCAAAATTTACAACTTCGTAAATTCATAAATCATTCCATAAGGTTTATTACATCATTTACTTAAAAGTAAATATATTTGGGGACGGTGTTACAAAAGGCACTTCACACATGTCTCAAAATCATTTTTAAAGTCACCACTTTTACATATAGACAAAAATATGAATAATAAGGTGATAGTTTTGAAAAAACATGTCACTGTAAAACTTTTATGTCACTGTCGGATTTTCATGTCACTAATAATAATAGATGTCACTGCAAGATTTTCAGTTAACTTACGGAGGTCACTGCCACTGTGAAACATGTCACATGTCACTGTGTCCGGCAATTTTTGAGAAAAAAATGGAAAAGCGAAGAAAAAATTGATCAAAAAAATCATTGACTTTTCTGGTGACGGTTACCGATGACTTTTCTAGTTTCCGACGGCCAACTCGGCCATGGCTGGGCATGTGTGTGGGGAAGGGTGATGGGGTAGAGATTTGATATACTTCTTAATTTATAATGAAAACATGATGAATTGATTAAACTAAGGTTAGTCATATTTTTGAACAAAAGGAAAAGTAGTCACTTTTTTTTGTATTTCAGAAAGCTATGTGTAACATTTGTGTCCTTACTCCATATATATATATATATATACACACACATACACACACACACACACACACACACACACATAGGGAACTCTTCCGGTAAGGTATACCTTACCAGAGCCTCCGTGCGGCCTCCCCATTTTGAGGGCCTTTCCGGTGGAATTTTTCGATGACATTTTTTGAGCATGTTATTCATCAAGTCTAATACATCCATACCAAATTTCAGCAAAAAATTCAATCGGGAAGGCAGTCAAATGATTTTTGGAAGATAACTGCACCCTTTATATACATATAAAACGCAGTTATCTTCCAAAAATCGTTTGACTGCCTTCCCGATTGAATATTTTGCTGAAATTTGGTATGGATGTACTAGACTTGATGAAGAACATGCTAAAAAACTTTCATCGAAAAATTCCACCGGGAAGGCCCTCAAAACGTGGAGGCCGCACGGCGGCTCCGGTAAGGTATACCTTACCGGAAGTTTTTCCTATTCATATATATATATATATATATATATATATATATATATATATATATATTCTGAAGTATTGTTATACTTTCTTCCTCCCAAAAAGGTTTGTTAAATTTACTTTTTTTGCTCAACAATGATAATCAAGTTTGACCAAACATGTTTTTCAATAAGAAATTACTTTAAATATGAAAATTATACTACGTATTAAAATGTTCCTTATTCAAAATATTTTTTATAAAATATAAATTTTGTAAATTATTACAAATACATAGTAATATAGAAAAAATCATTTTCCAAAATTTGTTATCACTTATCACGAAAAGTCAATTTAACAAATCTTTTCGGGACAAAATTAATAATTAGATATAAATTGATTATAACTATTAGTCAAAGGACAAAGTTCAAGTATAGCGAGTAACTTATTTTTGCATATGGGTGAACGTAACATATGATAGCGATTGAAGTAAAAGCTCAGAATTAAATATACTAATATGACTTAATTTTACAGTTCCCTATTACCTATGTGCATAGGTCATCTCACATATAGGTTAAATATAAGAATAAAAACTGGGTGATAGTTGCTATATACGGAGACACGGAGTATATATATATATATATATATATATATATATATATATATATATATATATATATATATATATATATATATATATATATATATATATATATATATATATATATATATATATATATCATAAAATTTCCTTCTAGCTTATTCTTTCTATGCCATTCTGAATATTATACAGATAAGGAAAAATATATAAGAAATGGTGGTCGGAGGTGAGGGAGAAAGATCATTGGAGGAAACGCCGACATGGGCCGTCGCCCTCGTCTTTGTGGTTTTGGCTGGGGCTTCCCTTCTCATTCACTACACCATCCATCTTCTAGGAAAGGTTAATTAGCTTGTGATCTCATGTGTAGCAGAGCTCATAAATCTTTTTTTGGTATTATTATTACTACTATTATTATTTATTTTTAATAGGGGAAAATAGGAAAATCCAAAAAAGTTCACAAAAGTACGTGTGATTGAAAACGTTTTGATTAGGAATTTGTGGTGTGATTCCGGTGGTCCGAAATAGAGGTGAACTGGGACGGGTCGGTCTGACCCGGCTCGACTAGACCCGAGACCTGACTCGACCCGCTACTGTACAGACCCGATCCGGTCTGGTTGACCGGGACCATAACCAAGCCCGGGGCCCGATCCGGATGAAGAAGCAAGAGGTACCGGGCTTTGATTTTAGAGGACCGGCCGGGCCTAAAGGTCAAGAATTCCAAAAAGTAAAATAAAATTGGGCTTGAAATTGTTTGGCGCGACCCGTCCCAGTCCCGGTCCGGGAATTGGTTGAATTGGCTGAATTATGATTTTTTTTATTATAATATAAAGAGCATTTTATTAACAAATGAAGAAGAAATTATCTGAAAAATAGTTAAGATGACCCTTTACAATAATGTCAGCCAATTCAGTCAGAAAAGTAACTTCAATCTCACTTCGTTTGATTATTACATATTTCATAGCTCAAAACCAAAAGTTATTATTTGTTGAAAAAATAGATCGCTAAAACTAATAAGTTGAAAACAGGATACATCAAATGGGGTTGTAAGATCACAAACATTCATCTCAAATAAATATTAATAATCTGATTTTTTTGTTGGTTTTACACTCATTACTTCAAATATATACAATTTTGATATGAATTGGATTTATACTTTGATCTCAAATTATTCAGGCAAATATCCCAAATTGGATTAATTGGACGGCACAAAGAATTTACAAAAAGGTGAAATCTGAAGTGGGCTGATGACTATATGAAGAACTTTAATCATAGTAATCTATGTTTACACTTAAGTGACCATAGTAATCTATGATTATATATATGTAGTCATATTTAGGTAAATAAGTGTTTTTGTAATATTTTTAAGAAAACCTCAATTATCAAATATGGAGTATATTGGAAGTTTTAAAAAATTCAGGGTGAGGAGGCTAGAATGATCGCCTAGCTACGCCTGCTCATATTACCTTAAACTTAATTCACTAATAATTTCATACATAGGATATAGGAATATGAGATGCCTATTGTTTAAACCAAAAAATGATTTTTTTGTCTTTCTGCTATATTTTTTTTTTTTGAAGCAAAACTAGTTAATTGTCATTAATCAAATCGTGGTCTAACGAAACAGAAATACAAGTGGGAAAATGATAAAGCCAAACATAGCGGTCAGACATAGAAATAGCAGCTCTTGCAAGATTATGAGCTACCCGATTCGCAGACCGCTTCACATGAGTAAAATAAATACTAGTAAAACTAGTCGACATTTCTCTAATATCATCAATGATCACCCCCGAGAGCGAACCATCAGAACCAGAATTAATACTTGAGATAACCTGAAGCGCGTCAGACTCTACATCAATATAGTCCCAGCCAGATTGTTTCAGCCAGCTAAGTGCCTCCCTAATAGCCAGAGCCTCAGCAACCTTCGGAGAGGAACCATACCATTTGTCAACACCACCTGCAATGAAACCGCCCTCACTGTCTCTGACCACCCACCCCAGTCCGCAAATATTACCGTCACCTATCGATGCGTCTGTATTCAACTTCAGTCGGCCCACCTCCGGTCTTTTCCAGCTCGCCAAAACATTGCTCTGTTGCTTGGTCTTCATACATCCCTCTACCGCTCTGCGCCAACCATCCAGAAAAGCCTTTGCTTCGGCTACAATTCCTTTTGCAATAACCTCCTTTTGCTCCCAAACCATCATATTCCTAGCTCGCCACATACTCCAGATGAACATAACAAATAGGCAACAACTTTCTTCATCCCTGCTGAGAAAGAAACTCTCTACCCACTGTACAAAAGTAATACCTGCATGAGCTTGGAGAGATTCCGATTTGCTAGAGACACAACATTTGGAAGAAGGCATTTGAGCTTTTGGACAAAAACACCCATTCTTCTTTGGATAGTAAGCACTCTCCTATATCAGCACACAAATTGATGAAGATAAAATTGGTACACGTCTAGTACTATTGTAAAGATATTTCTGATAGGTGATTGATCAAGATTGTCTTCTCAACCTGATCACATATACAAAGGGAAAACTGTCAAATAGTTCCTCGAACTTTCATAAAAAGGTCAAATAAGTCCTTATGTAGGAGGCTCTGTCTAACCGTCGCAATTTGGGGCGGTTTCCAGTGGAATTTTTTGATGAAAATTTTTCAGTAACTTATTCATCAAATCTAGTTTAATCATACCAATACAAAGTAGGTGATCAAGATTGTCACTCAACCTGATCACATATACAAATACAAAATAGCATATACATACAATTTTGAGCTACTAATTTCAGGTTAAATTTTGAATGTTGTATCATAGTCAATTAAGCTCCAAAGTGAAATTAATTAGCTTCTGATAACCATCAACACGAGCACATGCCACAGACCATAAGATTAGGTTGCTTCAATATAAGTCACTATCTTGCGGGGCATGTTAAGCAATCTCATACCTATCGCGCATATACAATTACAAAGTGACATATAAAGTCTTGGGCTCCTTTTAGATTGTTTCTTAGGATGGAATCCCACACCCTAATTAAATCAGGTGCAAACACATTCTTGATAATAAAAAAATTAAATAAATAAATTGAATAATCACTATATACTTTTTGACTGAAATCTAATTTATAGAAAAAAGTCGCTTCAAGAATTAATCGAATTTATCTTCAAATAAGTAGTTGGACTGGGTTAATTAAATCATTATTACTAGTTATTTTAGCAAATCTTTATTGACTACAATGCGTACATATTAAGGAAGTGTTTACATTGCTTTTGCCTTAAAAAATCACTTTTGAAAGTGTTTTTTGAAAAAAAGTGGTTGATAACGTTTGAGAAAAATTAATTTTTAAAAATAAAATTTGGTAATGTTTAGTAAAATATGTGCTTCCTGTGTAATCGAAAAAATAAAAGCAGATTCTAGATTTTGGAATTTAAATATTTAATTTAAGTGGAAGTTGTCAATTGAAAACACTTTTTAAATTTTTTAAGCCAAAAGCTCAAAATTACTTATTTTTAATTTTTGCAAACATATGACACACCTAAACGTGGAGTAAATAGCACAATACCGTGTGAGTTATACCAATTATAATACGAGTACTCCGTAACAAAATTTAAAACAACAATAATTTTCTCATTTTGCGCCATCTTTTATGGAAAGTTTTCAGCAGTTAAATTTTTTAGAGTTCATTGGGGTTAAACTTTTTAGAGTTAATTGGGATTTTCAGGTTTGTTTCTTTCGGCATCTCACACGTCCTGTCACTAAAGTTGATTATCATACCCTCAGACATGGATTTATCATGGTATGAAAAATTACATTCTCTCACACAATCACACGACTCACACATAGGAGTGGACCTAGGTCGATCCGGTTCGGTCCCAGTTTTGGGCCGAAACTGCCTAGTCCTGCTAAATGGTAGTGAAACCTGGGCCCGAGCCGCTTATTTATGGTCCAGTCCGGTTCCGGGTATGTGATCGGTCCGGGTCTCGATTTAGTTTTTTGTTTATATTTTTAGGTGCCTAAAATAGAAAAACATTATTGTTGGGATTGAAACCGGGATTGAGGCCGTCAGATTTGGTCCCAAAACAGCTAACCCAGGATCCAGTGGCGGACCTAACCCCCCATCCCCCAATTTGTTTTTAAAGATATTTTTACCCATAATAAAGTCATATATATACATTTACACCGCCGCCCCTCCTAGTGGGAATTCCTGTGTCCACAACTACCAGAATCAGATACTCAAACCCACCCGGTAGGGCTGATCCTAAGCCCGGATACAAAAAACATATTCAATCCGGATCTAACTGTACGAGATCCGGTTCCTGACCGGATCTAGAACCGGATCTATGCCTCAAGCAATCACACACAATGACACACAAGAAGTGATTCTATCCGTTTTTCCTGATGATTCATTGTGCTGATGATCGATATTCTTTTTTTGAAATATGATCGATTATTGTTGAAATCAGCAAATTAAGCAATTCTTGACAAATCACATATTGCTGATTATTTTGTTGAGTAAAACAAACAAAGTTAGCACAATCGGTAATGCACGTGCGTGGTCATTTCGTGGATACCTATATGGGGCACCAAAGTAACTAAATGCATCTATATTCTTCTTTATAAGCAGGCTCATTTGACACCCAGGGAGACAAAATTCAACTTTCACAAGTACATCAAAAAATCACTGGAAAATGATTTCAAAGTGGTTGTTGGAATTAGGTTGGTTATTCAATTATTGTACACTTACTTTTTTATTGAGATTTTTTCTAAAATGTTACTGAAATAAAATTTATGACTTTACAAGCAAAATGTGACTAAAGTTACTATGAACATAAAATAACTAAAAATTACTGAAGTAATCGTTACATGTAAGAGGCTATATTTATATCCATCTTTATTATTTTAAGAATATACGGAGTATAAGTTTATTCCATTTATTTTTTAGTATATTTTAGAAATAAAAATTAAATAACTTAAAACACAATGTTTTTTAGTAGCTTAAACTAAGGAACACTCCCATAGTCCCATAGCTAATAACATTTGTGCATTATGTGCTTTTTTCCATACAGTCCTCCATTGTGGCTTTTTGCAATTTTCTTCCTTTTGTTCAATACTAAAGGTAAGTAAAATTGTTTTTTCTTTAGCAAAATGTTGTACTTATATCAAGTTCATTATCTACTTGAGTTTTCATTTGATAAACAATTGTGATTATAAGTGTCTATATCATTTGAATATTCACTATACACATACCATAGAGTTTCATATTCTTTCAATTGGATAGGAGGCTGGTATTCCTACATATGGCTTCCTATTATTCCACTGATGGTAAGTTGTCGCACTTGTCAATGTGTTATAGGTGTGCGCGTTAATTTAGCATCACATTTGCATTTTACAATGATATCTAAAGATAACAACATAACATTATGATTAGTATATATGTAAATATATAAAGTTCAATTTTTGCTACATTTTAAAATTAGTATTAGTATTTGGTATTGGTATATGTACAAATCACATTAGAAGTTCTATTACTTCTATTGAAATACCAAAGTGGAATTCGAACATGATAAAAATTCAGTTTCAAAAGATGAGCGAGAGTTCTCAATTGGATCCAATTGGATCAAATCCTAACTTAAAACTTCCTTTTTAAGTGAAATTGATGGGGAGGGGGTTCCCAAGATGAACTTAACAAAATGCTTTATAAATGCTTAGTCAAGCATTAGGTAGCAGTATGAGTTTTAGAATTTGGTAAGAACCTTTAGGCAATTATCAAGCATGGGTTCTTTTGGGAGCTGTGCTAGCTTAGAAATTGGTAGAATCTTGAGCTAAGGCTCAGTTTTGCACAGAGGTACGTACATCGGTACATAAATGCTACGGCGCCACTTACAATTTACATCTCAAAAAAGATTTAAAAGTGGTTCTTCAGAGAACAGAATAATTAGTTAATTAGTTCAGCAAAGTCAAGAACACCTGATTTAAAAGCAATGTACTATGTTTAGACTAATAGTCTCAATATGCAGTTATGTTACCCTGCCTCTCTATGCCATTGTAACACAGGTAAAAATAGTCTCTAAATGCTTATTAAAAATAGTTTATCAAATGACTCTTTTGATAAAACACATCTCATATTCCTTTCATGAATTATTTTGGTCGTGTAACAATAGAAAAAACATAATTGAAATAACATTATATGACATTTACAGATTACAATGGTGGTTGGCACCAAGTTACAAGTGATCATCACAAAAATGGGGCTAAGGATTCAAGATAGATATGAAATTGTAAAGGGGGTTCCTGTGGTTGAACCGGACGATGGCCTATTCTGGTTCAATAGTCCTCGACTATTTCTGTTTCTCATTAACTTTATTCTCTTTCAAGTATGTGATGTATATGTCTGTGTATGTGTGTGGATTACCTAAAAAATTTCACTATCAGATTCTGAAATTCTAACCATGAACTAAATCTATCACTGCAGAATGCATTCGAATTCGCCTTCTTTGTTTGGACTTGGGTAAGCATATGGTAATTACTCCAAATATTTTACCGTCCAAAATGAATAGAAAAAATAGCATTGCTTAATTTGTGTTTAAAGATATTATCTATTCTTATGATGATAAACGATAGATAATGAAACCTCATATTTTTGGGGGGTGTTGCGGGGATTGGTTTTCTAGTATACATTTGGGCTGGGATCGTGTTTCCTTGAGCATGTGGAGGATATCATTATCAGATTGACAATGGGGTAAGTTTATATCTCAAATAAAAAGCTTGATTTATTTCTAATGTACAATTAATGTTAATAACTTGTCATTATTATGTCTTTGCAGCATTCTTGTACAAGTCATATGCAGTTATGTTACCCTGCCTCTCTATGCCATTGTAACACAGGTAAAAATAGTCTCTAAATGCTTATTAAAAATAGTTTCATGTATGAAGTAATCCTGCTGCCTGCATCGTCCAAATAATAAAATGCAAAACATTATAATTTCATAGGTTGAGGAATCAACCTTGACCCTTGACCACAAATCCTATGTTTGAGGAATCGCCCTTGACCCTTGAGAGAGTAAATAGGAAGGCGCTCGAACAACCCCATAAGTTTCTAACATCATCTATACAAATTAAAACAAAAATTCATCCTTAGCAGATTAAGCGCATCTCATATTCCCAACAAGAAGCTAATGTATACATTGCCACTTGAGCGAGACTAGCTTGGGGGATATAGGATTAACATTTGGAAGAAACACTCCAATTAAATTCACCTCATAAGTGTGAGATGTGATTCACTTGAACTGCTCGTACTTATCAAATGTTAGTATGTTACTACTAATATACAGAGTATTTGTTTATATCAAAAGTGATTTTTGTATATAAATTTTGTCAAACACTATATTACATACACCGTAGTCCGTACTATGTAGTACGTATGTAATCCTCTCAAACAAGAATTTCAGATAAGAAAAGAATAACTCAATGATATCAATTTGTATATAGATATTTAATTTCTACATATGAGAAAAAAAGTTTTTACAAATACATCTGATCTATTCATTTAGTCACTGAAATTGTATATCTGAATATGTGGAGTGAGGGAGTGGGTGTGTGTGTGTATATATATATATATATATATATATATATATATATATATATATAGGGTAAGGTTCAAGTGAGAAGAACCCTTTGGGTGAGAAATGAGAATGAATCTCAGCCATTGGATTCGACTAAGTTGCAGTAAAAGACATTTCATGATGCACTGAAATATGCAATCTAGCACGGTGGCATTTCTGTAAATACTTCTGAAAAATCCGTATTACACGTGTCTAGTGCAACATGAAGCTATTTTGGTGCAACGCCGTCAAATATTAGTGCAACATTAAACAATTTTAGTGCAACATGTGCAAAATTTAAATATTACTGCAACATAAAGCCAATTTTAGTGCAACTTCGTAAATCCAATGACTGAGATTCATTCTCATTTCTCACATTAGATGCATTTCTCAATGAGATTCATTCTCATTTCTCTCATTAAATGCAGGATCCTCCGTCCGAACATCCCCGTTTGGGGCCCTTCCCGGTGGAATTTTTTGATGAATTTTTTTGATCATGTTCCTCATCAAGTCTAGTTTGTCCATACCAAATTTCAGCTCAAAATTCGATCGAGAAGGCATTCAAATCATTTTTTGAAGTTGACTGCGTTTTTATGTGTATATTTTGACGCAGTCAACTTCAAAAAAATCATTTGAATGCCTTCCCGATCGAATTTTGAGCTGAAATTTGGTTTGGACAAACTAGACTTGATGAGGAACATGCTCAAAACATTTCATCAAAACATTCCACCGGGAAGGGCCCCAAACGTCCATGTTCAGACCAGGAATGTTCAGACCTGAACATTCCTCTATATATATATATATATATATGCATGGGTGTAATGTGATGTAAAAAATGTCTACAGATGGGCTCAAAGATGAAACCTGCAATTTTCAACGAGAGGATAGCAATGGCATTACAGCGCTGGCACCGCGCAGCGAAGAAACGAATTAAAGACCAGAACAATATTAATGACAGTAATTTGGTGACTTTGATATCAAGCCGACCAGGAACACCTCCAAACCATAGCATATCTCCAGTGCACGTCCTTCATGGCCAAGGTCCATATTTAAGCGAAATGGACATTATGAGTAGAGGTTCAATCAACTATGCAAGATAAATTTGATTTTCGATGAATTAATTGAGCATTAGGACCGGAGTGATGAAAATGGTGGCGGCTCCAGCCCAGCATCGAACGACCATTACCAAATGTACCATCTTCTTATTTGAACATGACATTGCACCAACATGGTGATAATAAGATTGGACTGAAGTACTAATGAAACTTGTCAACAGTTTCTTGTAAAGAATAAAAATGTCATTTGTCAAACATTGGAGCAAACCTGTTGTGTTTTTCACCTATACCCGATATGTTGTTTCTTGAACCCTTAATATGATCTTCTTTTCCTCTCTAGTAATTTCTAATTGTTCCTATAACCCACAATTTCCACTATACACATACGCATGGGAATCGAGGCCGTCCTGAGAGATAGAGTACTGGAGAAGAGATGAGTGAGATATCCCCCGATAAAAATATGATTGGGTGACAATGTGACATGGATGCTAACAGTTTCATCCCTGCCCTACTTCAACATTATTAAATAGATTATTAATACAAAGTAATTAATATATAGACTCATACAACCATATATTAGGAAGCAACATAAAAGGGGTAGAAGTACATTTAAGGGGTAATTTGAGTTTGCACCCCATTTTATTTTCCAAATTGGACCTTGCACCCCGTTTTTTAAAATCTTTGTTTTTGCACCCCAACCCCATATGAAAAGACAAAATTGCCCTCGATCAAGGATATGTTGAAGGCCAACATAATTTTTAATGGAGGGTATTTTTGTCTTTTCATATGGGGTTGGGGTGCAAAAACAAAGATTTTAAAAAACGGGGTGCAAACTTTAATTTTCACAATAAAATGGGGTGCAAACTCAAATTACCCCTACATTTAAAAGTTGAAAAGGGCAGGGAATGGATGGGGAGAGGAATAGAGGGTTTAAAAAATATAAAAGTAATAAATAAACTAAGACCAAGGGACCTGCGGTTGAACCGAAACTGGAAATACAGGTCATCACATGCCACATTATTTCTTTTTGAGACCTAACTGGGACCATGCCCATGCCCAGCTATAAAGGTGGATTTTAGGCAAATGTGGTATGGTTTGGTTCCTACAAAAATTTTAAGGAACCACATGGGGTGGTGTGACATTATCTCTACCATTTATTTCTTTAGTGGGGTCCTCCACTAAAAAAGTGAATGGTAGGGATAATGCCACACCACCCCATGTGATTCCATAAAATCACTCTTGGTTCCTATAGCTACAAGCATCTCAATCAGCCATAGATAGGAGAGTGAATACTTGTGAGGAGTCCCATAGCCCTATACTATTTGGTATGTTGAATCCTAATCGTATACCGATATACCAAATCCAAATTGGTTCAATTCCAATGTGTGTTCAAGACATGTTTCTTGTCCAATTTTAAAAATAGAACCAAAACTGATTCAATCTAGTCCTATTTTGGAAGAACCAAAACCAACACGGATTCAGAGGGGTTCCTTGCTGGAACTATTTTCAGGTCTGTTGCGATCTAATTCAACTAGTCTCCTCATCTCCTGGATATTGTCTGTGGCCTCATGGGGTATTCCTTGTTAGATTGTTAGATTTGCACTTTTGTACAATTGTTTTCGGAATATTTGTGGATCACAAGTTCCAAGAACAATCATTTACCTTTCCAGATGGAAACAAGTCATCATCATTCAAATGCAAGTCTTCCAATAATTAAATAGTAAATACAGTGTCACTAAAAGCGATTCGAAATGAGATCAATTTTGCGTGCCTCGCTAAAATATACTGCTATCACACAACACTAGGCAGCACAAGTTTGCACCTTCTAAAGTATGCTTGTTACATGACATTTTTTACTAAATAAAAAAAAATGAAGACTTCTGAAGCTAGAAGGGATTTTGACTTTCCCTCTTAACATGTGCAGCACCTTGCAGTTTGTCAATCTTCTGGTTTCGCATCAAGAATGGCAAGAATGTCCAGGGCTGATGAACCAAGGTGCAAGCCTCGCACTACCCCTCCATACCCAACCTTTATCCTATAGCATAGAATCAATATCGAGTCCCATACTGCTGTTCTCCCCTGAATTAATTAATGTTGCACAAATGTCAGTGTTAGCCATAGAGGGCCAAATACAAGGGTATAATGTTTAACCTTTTGGAGAGCCAGTTTACCACAAATACTAATTATTGTCACTGCACTGGCTCTAAAGTCATAGAAGTATAATATAATACAAAACAAAGACCTACTCATTCATAATTAGGGTGCTTAAAATGTAGGAGGCAACACTTGCCTGTAAAGAGAACTGAGGCTTCTTGTCCCAAAAGAGTGCAAAAACAGGGGGGCGTTGTTTCCCAACAGCCAAAACACAAGCTCCTATATGGAGCACAGAGGGTACACCCGAAACAACAGCTATATACTTTTCTGGAAACCGTTCTTTAGGAGGAAGAATACCCACAAACAAGGGGTTCTTGCTTGATTGAGACCCGGCATATGAGGTAGGATCAACATGCAGCATCCATTTTGGGTGTTCCAAGAAAGCACAGAAGAGATATAGGAGAAGGTGTGAATCTGTAGGAACGTCACTCGTCCACTTCTTTGAATTGTCATATATCTCTCCCAGATACTCGTACTTCTTCACACACGACCCTTCAGCAAGATCTGGCATATTTCAGAGGATAAGGTTATGTTTATTTTACCTGAAATTATAAAAGAAACTTAATTTACGAGAAAAAGGTCAATTGAGTACATCAACTTGTATGAGGTGGACTAAAGAGTCTACTATGTTGCATTTGACATTCATAAGTACATAAACCTGATTATTTAGTGGCTTCAAAAAAAAACTTGATTATTTAGTGTTAATTGAGTACACATTAATATGACTGAGTTTGTGTACTTAAAAAGATCAAATGCAATTTAGTGTACTCTTTACTCCACCTCATACAAGTTGATGTACTCAATTGACCCTTACCTCCTTAATCTACGTATTCTTTTATTGCACTTCCACAAACCATGCATTATTGCCTACTTTATTAAAAAAGTGGATAATATCACAAACTGCAATCTATAAACAGAAAAAAGATTGTGTTATCAAAGCCCTTTTATCTTATTATTTCATTTGCTGAAAGTTATCAAATACTACGTATGAAATGATCAAAATGAAATGAAAATCAGTATACCTCGAATTCTACGTACTGTATAACCTGCACGCACAGTACTTTGTGTTAGCAGACCCTTTCCCCATTCTCCTTTCATCAAAGTAAGAAGCCTCTGGTGCTCAGTTATAGCATTGATGCACTCTTGCACAGCAGGGATCAAGGTGGTCTGCTCTGGGGATTGTTGCAAATTGCCAGAACTCAACTTTACTGAAATGAAAATCCACAGAAGATACCAAACATACCCAATGAAATAAAAAACAATAATACCATTTAACAGCATAAAAATAACAATCTCTCTATCCCATTATAAAAGATCATTTCCCTATTATGCTGTCAATCCAATTTTTTAATATATGTTTTTTGTATCAGCTTTTTATCACATTTAAAATTGCCTTTTTACGGTTTATAGAACTTTTAGGGTACCTTCTAAATATGTAAATTTAATTATTAAAATTAAATTACCAACTTACACATTATTAGGGAAGGGTTAACTTGAATTTCAGTCAAACTTGAAACTTCACAATAAAAATGAAACTTCTATGGGACGGAGAGAGTATTAATTTATTCTTTATTAAAAAACGAAGAGAAGAAACTCACACATGTAAGAATCAAGAGTTTGAACAAGATTGGCACGCAGTTGATGAAGAAGACCATCCTCGTCAAGGGTAAATGAGGATTGCCACTCATTACTCATTGCAGATGCGGAGGCAGTAGTACTTCCAGTACCTGAGGTTTCACTTCCCAACTGACTGACAGTGATGGTAATTCCTAATTTAGCAGCTGCTTGCATGACCTATCAGCAAGGTAAAAACGCATGATTTAGAGCTCACAAACATAAGCTAAATCAGAAAATAAAGATGGGGAAAAATATAGAGGACGAAGTGATGAGGTAGCACACCTTAAAGTGACTGGTATCAATTTTGTCAAGCAAGGGGTTGAGCAACATTTTTGAAAACCACTGCCTAAGATGGTCACGCCATAGTTCAATTTGCGGATATATACCAAGATGTTCAAAGGCTTCAACAGATTCCTCCATTGACATAGGAAGAGGTAGATCATTCTCCCCTTTTTTTGGAGGAGTAGTGAACTTTTGTGATCCAGGGGACATCCTAACTGGCCTTAAAGGAGTACTTCTCGGAGTTCCAGAAGCATTGGCTGAAGTGGGTATGTTACTAGGACTGACTACACCAAAACTACTTATGGTAGGCGAAGGAGTGGATAGTTTACTTGCTGATTCAGAAAATTTGTCATCCACATCAGCCAAAAACTTCTCAAATGCTTCTTCTGTCATCATCTCTTTGTGAAAAGAAGTTCGTGTGTTTGACCACGGTGAAGTCTGCAGGGAAGGAGATTGTGAGGATGTAGGGCCTACACTCAGAGATTGAGAAGCAGGAGACTTTGATGGGGTACCAAAAGTATGTATTTTAGATCCACTACCAGGACTTGATTTCTCACTACTCAGCCTAGCTGAACGACTTGCACTTGAGATTGGCTGATGAAGTGGGACAAGGGCATCTAATGGAGAGACCGTTTTGGACATAGGAGGTTTCTTTGAAGATTCTGCATTGCCTTGTTCAACTTTTTGTTTAATTCCGAGAAGTGCTAGTTGTCGATTTGTCAGCCGCATCTGTTCCTTTGATCCTTTAGACGGTGATGTAACCCTCCATTCTACTGCATTCTTTTTACTCCATAGCAGAATAGCCTTGAAAAGGGCAATGAAAGTTCCAATTAAGATAAAACAAGCAATGCTTTGTACCACTTTGGTAAAAAGGCCTGAGCACAAAAGTTAAGAAAGGGTCAGAGCAATTAATTTATTTACAATTAGCAATCTAGCATTAACCAAACTGAGAAGAAATTTTGTACATCCTCACTTACGAGCAGGGGCATATCCAACTTTCAAAATATCAATAACTCCTTCCCTGAAGTTCAAATTCAAATAAAGCCATTAAGACAACACAACTGAAAATATCAAGAATCTTGTTTTGCGAAAGCAAAAACAAAATCCAATACAGCTACCAGAGTCAATCGCAAAATGGGATATTGAGAAAAACGAAACCCAATACTTCTTTGGATTTTTTTTTTTTACAAATTTGGTGTAAAGCATACAAGTTTTCCCTTTCAAAACAACAAATTACTAGCCTTCAGCTGACCATAACATTTTTTTGAATGATATTCCCAATGAAATGAACACCTGGACATGATAAGTAGCAGTACCAGTAGACCGCACACAAAAAAGAATTTGGTTTAAGATCGCAATCAAGAAAATACTCCCTCCGTCCCGATTCAAAGTCCATGTGTTCTTTTTCAGGACGCCAATAAATAATCTTTCCTTACTTGGTAAAGAAAATCTCATTTTACTCCATTACCGTCACGTAATAGTGTCAAAACAGTACACTATGCAGTTAAACTTAACCTAGTAAAAAGGCATTTTGGGAAGTCAAAGAAAAAGAATCCTAACTTTCTCAAACTCCGTGAGGGTCAAGGTAAGAACTTTTTATGGGACGGAAGTAGGAATTAATACAATGGAACTCAGGAACAATTTATTGATAGTATGCATCATCGTAGTATAGTTATGAGCTTTCCGAAGTGATTTATTAATCTACTAATAAGTGGTTTCATGGCAGTTCCCCTGTTTATCCAAATCCAATGCCAAATTAAGGGCCTGTGTTTATGAACATGAAATATTGAAATCATAAAAAGCTGGTTGGGAGGGCCTGAGACCGGGTTGGCCGCCATAGAAAACTAATGCTTTGTTTCGTTATCAGTGTGTAGCCAGAGTCTCAAAAAACTTGAATTTGGGGCAGGCCACAATGCACCCATTTAAACCGGTTTGGGAGGGCCTGAGACCAGGTTGGCCACCATATCAAAGACTCTTGTGGTTTAAATGCACTGCTGATCATTTGTTAGCATCACTCAGCTAACTAAATTACTAAAATATATTCCGTAATTAAATCTTCATACTAACAATTCTGAATCTATCAGTGATGCAAAAAATATCATTACACTGGCTAAACACAACTATTGCTACCAACACACCCCACAAACTAGGGTTAACAGAGCAAGTTTCTGCAAATATGTCACATAATAAGCTCCTAACGTCTTCACATGACATAATAACTAAATATAAGCCCGTTCTTTTTCATTAACACCAAAAGCAATCTTTTAAGGTCCTAAATTGGTATATAACCCAGATTTAGAGAATCAAGATACAGAAAAGAAGGCAACACAGAATATGACACACATGAACATTATGTTTTGGGAAAACGACAGACGGCATACAACTAAATCGCGCGCAAGCATACCTAGATATGATGCTGAAAAGGCCAAATGCGGAGGCGAAAGAGACAGAGATGAAGAACAGGAATGTTGACTTGGAAGGGAGGAGGCTATTGGAGGTAAGGGCGGCGGAAAGAGCTGGATTTTGATACACCGCGAATTTCGAGGGCCTGGGTGGAGCAGAGCTCTGCTCCTCTCTTACTCCAGCCCCACTTTCCATTCTTTATCCAATAGACGTAACACAGTTCAAGGGTGAGCAATGGCGGTCTACAATAGAATCTCCATGGAGGATAACGTTGAGGGCTCTATTCCTCTCCTCCTACCAGACGTACGAGTAGCAGCGAACAAGACGAGTGCGGACACTATTGACCCAGGCCAAATTTCATTTTTATCCGTCTTGAGAAAAAAAAATTGTTATCTAAATTTAATAGGAAGTACTACCATCCAATGAGTTAGACGAGGAAAAAAAAATAGTAAAAATTGTATAGTTGAAGATTGTGCAGTAGAGAGATAAATGAGTAGAACCATAAAATAGTTACTACATTAGGAAAGTGATAAAATTTTTTGGGACAACAAAAAAAATACTTGGCAAAGTCCAATAGGACGGAAGGAATACTTTTTTTTAATCATCAAATCCAACTAATATATTAAATCCAAATAACTTTCGTCACATGGCTGATAATACAATCAAAGAAAAAAAAGTAAAAAAATGATAAAAAGTTTCATGTCTGTCGTCCGCCTCGAACCAGACTGAGAATTCATCACCTCTGTAGAAGCAATGACATTAGATGATCCTGTAATGAGCTTAACTGAGCAAATGACTGGCAAACCAGACTTCTCGTCACCTAACCTAAATTTAAGAATATCTCTATTAGGGAAAAGGAACACGTCCAAAACAACATGCAATCCGATAGAAAAACATAAACTGAATAAAACAGAATTAAAATAGAGCTCACCCATCTTTTTCCAAACCTTATATTTTCTTGCACTCCATGGCGGCGGCTCAGGAGGGGGACGCGCCCGCCACTCATCCGCCACAACCTCAACATCAGCTTCATCTAGATCCAGTTCTTCTTCCTCTGCCCCAATCATCATCTTATTATACTTGTCAACGAAGCTATCCATAACCGGCAGACAGAACTTCAAAACGAAGGAACCTAGCAGAAAACAAATGACGATCAACCGCGCTCATAGTAGCTACGGTAGACGCAAAATCAGCAACCGGTGCCACGAATAGAGAGGTCGCCGCCGGACAATCCCCTAGGAAAAGCCCTAGGCTGCGGCGAAAAAGCCCTAGGAAGCTAGAGAGAGAATTCTATCTAAATTTAATACTTCGTACAAAAAATTTGTTACTAAAATTGTTTTTCCTTGATAATACTATGTATCATAATACAGTTTTTTTATTGACAAAATTCACAAGAATAATTACTACTTTTATGGGTTCTACAATAATCATCCCAACTCAAAGTGTCCATAAACATAATTCATACTAGCAATAGTGCCCATAAGAATAAATTAGATAGATTTCAAATTAATGTCCATTTAATACTCTCAAACCTTACCTCCACTTTCCCATTCATCAGTCTCTGTTTCAATTCACACTTTAATGTTTTAACCTAGATAGAATAACATATGGCGGAAATGATGTTGATTTTGAATGAGTTTTAGGTTGAATTTTAACCGAAAAGAAGAGTCGGGAGGAGAAACCTGGGAATAAAAATTGAGAGTATGAAACGGACACTAATTTGAGTTCACCCAAATTTATTTTCATGAACACCTTTGTTAGTTCTGATTTTGTTTGTGGACAGTGTGAGTAGGGATTATTATTCTAGAATCCCTAAAAGTATGAAAACCGAAAAATCACCAACTCTCTCTTCTCTCTAGAGAGAGGGGAACCGTAGCAGCTGTCTCCCCTCTTTGTAGGAGTTGAGAATTTCCGTTGCCGCTATCAATATGGGGTTGAAGCAATAGACTATACTGATTTTAAATGTTCTAACACTTGAGATTGCAACTACGTCTGAGGAGATAGAGCGTTAAAGGATGAACGAGGTGCGACTGAGAGGTTGTATCGAGTATGGATCGTGAAGCCTTGGTCGGTCATTCCGACGGTGATGGAGTTGGTATTCACCCATATTGCAAGAGCTTGTCCTCCGGAATCACCTCCATATCAGGAAGAGCTTTGCGTAAAGATTTTATTTCAATATTATTTGCTCTTTTGCTGCAATCGTTTCTGTTTTAGTCCGAGTAGATTTGGTTTGAATGTTTGGATTTTTGGAGTTCTTTTGATAGACGGGGTTTCGGTTAAGGTCGTTTTAGGCCTAAATATGCCCTTTTTAGGTTTAGCTAGTCATGTTGTTTTGTATGAGATGACTGACTCTAAGTCTACTCCTAGGGTTCACGATTGGATCTGTAAATTCTATCTGAAGGTTGTATTGTATGTGTTCTTGATTTTAATATAATGGCCGCTCTTTTATGATAAAAAAAATATGTAAATCGACACTAGCCAAGTTTATTAACCAAGCTTTATGCCAAGTTTATTAGCCAAGCTTTATGTGATGTAGGGATTATTGCAGAGTATAAAACTTTTTTTCTACCTTTAATTTATTTTCCAAACATTTCAGACTTTGTTAGATAAATTATTATAATAGTACATTGCCCTATATAATTGTAAGAGATAATTCTTACCATATAAAACATCCTTCAAGTGTAAAAATACGTTGAAAAAGGAGTGAAGCTAAAAAACCAAACGGTGTTGGGGTGTTAGGTGTATACTGTGTATACCAAGATGTATAGCAAGAAGAATGTGTTGATCAAGCACTTATCATCTTAGATCACCAACACTTTTTTAAGCTCCTAAACGCTCACCTAAGTATCTTTAGAGTTTAGTTTCCTCTTGATCTATATAACTAGAAAATCACAAGAGCATTCCATGTTCGCCAAATCTTGAATAGAAGACATGACTGAATAGCTTTAAGCATCAACCTCTTGCTCATAGTGAAAACACCTAATTAAGTAGCATAGATGATGTTTACTCCTCGTGAAATCACCTAATTAAGTAGCATAGTTATGCCTGTTTCCCGTTATTTTGTTTCCCACCTTCATAGACCTTCATCTTCAGGGAGCTTCACCTTCACCCGACCTTTACCTTCACCTTCACCTTCACTTAATCTCGGAATCTTCTTCTACGTTCACCTGCGACTTTCACCTGGCATCTATCAACTTCTACGATCGCTCACCTTCTTCCTTTTGATCGATCACTTGCGACCATCATCATTTCAGAAGTTCGATAACTTTCAGCTTTGATCGTCGTTTCAGTAGTTTGAGTGGTAATCGAATCTAATATGAAGTAATTGTAATTAATTTTATTTTTCTGTTGGATTATCATTGTGTCATCGAATTGCTCACATTGTTGTTAAATTGTTGATTATTAATCATTTTCATTATGTTTGGATTACTTTTTCCTTGTTTTCTGTATTTGTTCTTATTTTTTTTGTCTCTACCTACTTTTCATGTCTCTGATTTCATACGCTTTAACTTTCTGCATTTTTTGTGTTGTGACATTTTGTGTAATTGATGTCATTGTTATGAAATTGATGTCATTTGTTATAATTCCAGTTGTCATAGATATGAATAAAATTGTTCTAATGGTTAAAGTTGATGATTTCTGGAATTCCAGGTGTCCCTGTTTCGAATGGATCCTCATATACTAGTAGTATTTTGTGTGATATATTGATCCATTACAACTTCAAGGGAGGAGTTCAGAAAGATTTTAGGATATCTTATACGGTTGAATCTTGTCGTGCCCCTGTTTTTATTGATGGTGATACAAGCTTTACTTTTTACATGCATTTGAAAACCATACATCCAGTTTTCTCAAAGTTTGAGCTTTTCTAAACTCTGTTTTATTATATAAAAGATAGATGAAATGATAATAACTTATATGCAAATTTTAAACTTAAATTACCATTACACTACATTGTTGAAACTATTAATCATAAATCGAAACCAAACCAAATGTGATTGGGACCAATTTATGTGGAAACCAAACTTTCGTTTCGAGTTTTTGGTTTTATGTAAAAACCGAATGAATATATAGAAATACGCGTACAGTACATTCGCAAAATATTAGACTAACATAAGCTTTCAATTGCTTTTGAGCATGAGCATTGATATTCAACTTCCGGTATTCTCATCGAGGCGCACCTTCCGGTATTTTTCTTTTAATTGTTAGGCCATTTATGAAAATCAGAGTTACTTTTGACGGTCTTTTTCAGACATTTTTAACGGTGTGACCCTCTTGTGATAACGGAATTCAAACACATGAACCACTTTGATAAAGAATGAAGCGCATGACCTTATTTCAGAATGGGCCCAACCACAAGTACTTTTTCCGTAATTTTCCCTTGTTTATATTTCTTACTACAATTATTATATGTCCTCGACGGATCAGAGTCCTATATATCTAATAGTTTTTAAAATCAAGACAATATGATTGAAATAAAGATAGTGGACAAAAATATGACTTAGTAACTACCATAATAATTTTAGTGACCATGATTGTGTTCAACTCTATAGTATAGTGACTATGCATAGTAATTAGAATAATATCTTTGTCCATTAGTTATATTTCTGTAATATTTATGCGAAAACCTCTATTTATTTTGTCCAGGATAGCGGAGATACAATTTTTATCTTAAATACTAATACTAAATTTTGAGGTCGGAAGCGGGGGAACTTGTCCCCTAAGACCCTCCCTATACTCCCTAGGTCCTCCACTGCATATACACCCGAATGTACCATATAAATATAATGGTCAAGAACATGTTAGGGCAAAACAAGTATTTGACGTTTTCTTTCATTTGAAGAAAATGTTGAAAGCGGAACTGCCAAAGTCTAAAAGTGTAATTATTATGTAGGCATTTGTTTTCCAAATTCTAAGCAGACTGACTTGCAACTACGTTTGATGACCGGCGCCCAAATTTTAGCAATAATCCAAATTTTCAATTTAATTTTTTTAAAAATTAATGGCTTTTATTTTTATGAATAAATTGACTGGTGTTGCTAAAAAGGATTAGTTTAGTGATTTTTTCATATAATTTCTTTCTTCATTTATTATTAATACACGGAGTATATTTTTAATATAATTTTTTCACAATTGTAACATATATTAGAATTTCATGAATTTCATCGGACTCAATCGATTTTACTAAATCTAATGTAATACTTCATCTTTTCCCATCAATTCTAATAGACTAATACGGAATATTATACTTCATCTTTTTTTCATTAGAAAGGGAGAATCGCGTACAAACTTTACACCACACAAACGGGCGTACCTGTTATAAAACATGTTCAATGATTAATTATGTTATGATGATTAAACGCTTTGGACAATTAGCTTTTTTCCAACTAATCCATTCACATCTACACTAACATATACTCCGTACGAAGTAAGCAATTTAAGTTAACGGCTCCAATGCAACTTTGTAGTGACATAAGTGTTTAAATTACCCAATTTAAATCCAATTCTCTATATTATTTGTAGAGAATAATAAAAAAAATTATTTGTAGATAAAATCATTATATTTGAAATCTGGTCCAATAAGTTCATTTCTAATAGGACTTTTCATTCGATCAAGGATATTGAGCGACCACGCATTCATACACATTGATACACACATTTGGTATGTGTATATATTTTATGGGAAATTAATGGACATGTAAGATAGACCTAAAACAATAAGATGGACAATTTTAGATCTTTTTCATTTTATGCAGCTTAGTGAGTTGAATGGTCCAATTTTTTGTGTTTATTAGTACTAACTATTTATTTTAGTTGTTACAAACCAACGTGAAAAAATGTCCAAATTTCCTCCAAAAAGCATGGGTAATAATCAAGGTAAATGGGTCAAATAAAGCAATCCAAAATTAAGAGTTCGTTTGGTGATAAGCTATTTTAGCTTATCTAACGTAACTTTTGATTTCAGACACTGAATTAGTTTAAGTTATCACAAATGATCATTTTAGCTATTTTATAAAATATATTTTAAATATAATATTTTCGTAACGTGAGCCAACAAATTAAATACTCTATGAGTTCTATTTCCAATTCTCATCTCTGATGTTTTAGATATTGATGTTAAATTTTGACCAATAATGTATTTATAACGAAAGTATTTATAATGTGAATAATTATATGAAAATATTTTTTGTCAAAACTAATATCATACTACTAATACATAAAATTTACAAATTCTAAAAATATACTCTCTCCGTCCCAATTTGTTTTGCAAAGTCAACAATTTTTGGTTAACCAATAATAAAAGTCAACCCTTCATATGGATAATTAATTCAATTTTAATAATTAAAATTTACATATTCAAAAACTACATTAAAATCTCTTCAAAGTTTTAAACTCTAAATTAGAATATAATTAAAAAATGACATCCTAATTTTACTAAAAAAGTCAAATTTGCAACTGATCTTTTTGAGACGGAGGTAGTACTACATACTCCGTAGTACATACGTACTAGTTAAAATGATTGATCCGTTTTAATCTTATGACGTGTGGTATGATCTGTTCTCATTTGGAAAAGAAACTAGTGACGGTGGAAGTGAAATCACAACATTTTAAGTCAGAGTAGCACAAGATATAAATTTACGAAGTTACATAAGAGGAAAAAAAGTTATCTACTTTCCAGTCTTTCCTTAGGTTGCATCATTTTCTTCTTCGACCATAGATATATACACATATATGTAGACATGTATATATGATTTTTATGTGTGCTGCTTAATTAAGGAAGAACCCTACAATAAAAGATGGCGGGAGATGGCGGAGATAGATCATTGGAGGAGACGCCAACATGGGCGGTCGGCCTCGTCACTTTAGTTATGGTTGGAGTTTCGGTTCTCATCGAGTACATCATCCATCTTATAGGGAAGGTAAGCTTGTCACTTTAGTTTATTGGTTTTCCATCTCATCTTATTTTTCGTCATCGAATATGACACGGATCATAGCTATTTTTGACACAAATGTGTGTCTAATAGCTCGTGACAAAATGAATTTGACACGAGATTTGATAGGATCTGCATATCCATGCCACATCTCTTTCACAAAATCTGCAAAAGATTCGTGTTAAATTTGTGTCATTTCCGTTATTTTTTAGCGTATTCGTTACTGTTGCCACTGTAGCTACATTCTAAGGAATTCTTCGTACGAAGTATTTGTTAATACAATTCAATGAATTACTGTCCTGATTTAGAATTTTGTTGTTTCTGAATGCAGTGGTTGAAGTCCAAACATAAAAGAGCGTTAAATGAAGCTCTAGAAAAGATCAAATCAGGTTTCATTAATGACTTTTTAATGCGGGAATTTAAGATTGACCTTCCTTAATTAATTTATGGATTCCAGTATTTAATTTTTCCTACTGATATAGAAAATTTATTGATATGATGCAGAGCTGATGCTGCTGGGATTCATATCATTGATGCTGACAGTTTTGCAAAGCCCAATTTCGAAAATATGCATCTCCGCGAAACTCGGGAACACGTGGCTTCCTTGCACCAATAAGCAAGAGCACAAGTTAGAGGACTCCAAACACGAATCTTTATGGGACGAGATTAACGGCCGCCGGAGACTTCTTATCAGCGGAGGAACGCGGCGGGTTCTGGCGGCTGCGGACAAATGTGCTTCCAAGGCAAATACATACACTGCTGTTATTTTGCTCAGCGAAATTTAATTTCAGAAATTGCTCTAAATAAGACTAAAAAACTTAAACAAGATGCAGGACTACATATATTTTATTCTTGAAATATGAGTTATTTGATCTTATTAAAAGTATGAAAAGCACAAATGATGGAGGGTGTACAAATTCAAGGAAATGTTTGGATCTGCTTTTTTTTTTTAAAACAACGTCTACTCCTACATGAAGCAACAATAGATATTAGAGTATTTGGGGGTGTTAGGATTGATTCTGCTCCTAGTTCTTTTTCATAAGCAAAAGTAAAATGAGAATCGGTTTTCTAGAAGCCCATCTTGTCCAATTTAGGGTATGTTTGACACAAGTAGCTGAAAAGATAATTTTGTGAGTTTTTTAATAACTGTTAGCTTTCAGTGACTGAAAAGATCTTATAAAGAAAATGTGGTAGCTGTTTGGTAAAAAGCCAACTGTTTGATTTAGTTCGGTTTGGTATACAAGCCGTTAGGACTAATTAGTACCAAAAGTCACGGGCTTTTATCACATGCTACTCGCTGTAGCATCTCAAAAAAGATCTTTTAATTTTTGAAAAGCTCTTAAAAATTGTCATGTCAAACATACGACTAGAAGCTTTTACAGACTTTTTGAATAGTTCAAAAGCTAGAAGGCAGGGACTTATGCATGCTAAACATAGCCTTATAAAAAACTACTTCTATGAGCTTTTTGGAGCACAAATAACTGAATAAGTATTTCTTCACTTTCACTCAAACACTCCAATATCCGTTTCTGCTCCGTGAAAGAGCAAAACTTATTTTAAGAAGTAAATCTAAACATTTTAGATGAAAATGTAGAAAGTATTACGGAGTACTAAATATTCCAAATTGTTTTCCACTTAGGAAATTTGATTTTGATTTTACTTCTCTTTTTATCAAACAACTAAAAACACAATCAATTTCAATCACCTTATAATGTACGCATTAACTTATAATATAAATGTAGGTAATTTGGAATTTGTCATAACTTATATGGGTAAGTAAGAGTTAAAATGACATTTTCATTCCATATCTTTTCAGGGAAAAGTGCCGCTAGTGTCTCTAGATGGTGTTCACCAGTTACATATGTTTATATTCGTTTTAGCAATTTTCCATGTACTTTATTGCGTTACAACTCTGGTTTTGGGGAGAGCCAAGGTAATTTTGATCACGGTATGTTATCATTGAATTTGGATTTATTTGATTTATATCGAATTTCATTTTAAAAATGCTATTGGCAATTATTTCAGATGAGAAGGTGGAAAGTATGGGAGAAGGAAACTAGAACAGCAGAATACAAATTCAATAATGGTAATGAAAAATATTTTTGTTCGGACTACAATTTGTGATCTGTTTAAGTCTGATATAATCAGTTTAAATATGATGAATTGGTTTGTTATGATCAGTTTAAGTCTGTTTAAGTTTAAGTCTCATTTGATTTGAGAATGAAACTTGTCCAAATAAAATGATATGAAATCTCGATTATTGTTTATTATTCCCGTATCCCACAATTAAGTTCATATTTCAATTTGTATGTCTTCAGAGTTGACGTTTAATTATTAAAATTTTGGGATTGTATACTGTTTTAGTGGAAAAGACTTATATTGATATATTTTTTTGGTTAAAGGGTCAAATAAGCCCTCGAACTAACTTAAAAAGTGCAATTCACTCCTTATATAGGAGACTCTGTCTTGCCGTCGCCAATTGGGGCGGTTCCCAGTGGAATTTTTTGATGTATTATTTTGAGAATCTTCTTCATTAATTCTAGTTTACTCATACCAAATTTCAGCTACAAATTCAATTGGGAAGGCAGTGAAATGAATTTTTGAATATAACTGTGCAGATAACAGCACAATACATTTCAGAAAATCATTTGACCGTCTTTTCAGTTGAAGTTTTATCTGAAATTTGGTATGGGTAAACTAGACTTAATGAAGAAGATACTCAAAATATTTCATAAAAAAATTCCACCGGGAACCGCCCCAATTGGCGATGGCCGGACAGAACCTTCTATATACGGGGTGAATTGCACTTTTTAAGTTAGTTTGAGGGCCTATTTGATCCTTTAGCCTATTTTTTTTATCGTGACTTATATTGATATAAATAATTCACAAATCATCAATCACACAAGCACCCCTATTTAATCACCAACTTTAGGTTTATAAAATTGAAAATTCTATAATAAATATAAAAAATTCAATAATATATATCTAAGCCAAAGTATTTAAAAGTACTTTGGTGCTATAAGATGTAGAGCCCGTTTGGTAGCACCAAAATCGGCTGTTTTGGCTGATTCTGCTGAAATTTATGATATTCTGGCTGGAGTGGCTGTTTTGGCTGATTCTGCTGATTTAAGAAAAAAATATTTTAAAAATATATTTTATTAATAAATTAAAGAAAAAATTATATGTAAAAATAGCTAAAATGGTCCTCTACAGTAACTTCAGCCAATACAGCCAGAAAAGTAACTCCAACCTTACTTTTTTGGCTTATTACACAATTCAGCGCGCGAAAGTAAAAGTTACGTGTTTGGTGAAAAAGCTGGCTGATAAGCCTGATAAGCCGAAAACAGAGTTCTCCAAACGGGCTCGTAATCTTTGAATAATTAAGGTCAAAGGTTAACCAACTTCACTAAAAGTTCAAAACATGAATTAATTAATTTTTAGAAAAACAGAGTATTAGAGACTAAATTTTAAATAATACTCCGTAATAATTAATAAACTTATTATCATTTTTGTTTGGTATAATGTGAATGTAAGATCCTGAAAGATTTCGGTTTGCAAGAGAGACAACATTTGGGAGAAGACATTTGAGCTTTTGGACAACAACACCCAGTCTGCTTTGGTTTGTAAGTATTTTTTTGTGATCACCAAACAAACGATAAATCAGTTTAACCTGAAGAAATTGATCGAATGCCGTCTGAAGCGGATAAATTGCTGAATATATTAAATTATGGTAAACTTATATTCAAAAAATATCTTCTATTAATAGATTAAAGAAACAAATACATTGAAAAATAGTTGCAATTATTACATATTTTGATTATTACATAATTCACCGCGTGAAATAAAAAATTACGCTTATGATAAATCATTGACTAATAAACTGAAAGTATGGGTTACCAGATGATCTGAGCTCCAAATATAATAAATATCATCGAAATTGTGTATTTGAAACATAGCTTTACAATTGAACTTTATTTCATAAATATGAATAGATTCATCAAATTCTACCAAATAAGAGTTCTCCACTCTCATATCTCGGAAAGGAAATTAAAGAGGGATGATGAACTAATTAAATTTGGAGATGAACATGGGTCACTTCTCTAATAGATTGAATTATAGCTCGTTTGATAACCCTGATTTTCGATTTCTTTACTTTTTTAATAAACTTTTTTTTATCAAACATGTAGCTTTTGATTTCACAAACTAAATTGTTAAATAATCAAGATAAGTAATATTGGAGTTAGTTTTGTGCTTGAATGGGCTAAATATTGATTAAGAGAGCTATTTTAAGTAATTTCTCATAAAATATTTTCTTTAATTATAAATATGCAATTGTTTTGTATAATTCAATAGATTCAGTGAACTCAATCATAATGTCCCCAATTTTAATGGATTTAACCAATTTTAACTTTGCCAAGCGAGCTCTATATATTGAAGTTTATTTGAAGTTTCAAATGTTACATTGAACTTTTCAGGTCTGTTTCTTTCGCCAATTCATACGCTCTGTTCCAAAAGTTGATTATCTAACCCTCAGACATGGATTTATCATGGTAAATAACTCAAACAATTTCTTGTTTTAGAATCATGAGTGTGTGCATATGGTAATTTTATTTTATTTTATTTTATTTTTTTGCAAAATCAGGCTCATTTGACACCTCAAAGTGAGGCAAAGTTCGATTTTCAGAAATATATCAATAGATCTCTAGAAAAAGATTTCAAGGTGGTGGTTGGAATAAGGTTTGTCTTTCAGCAATTGTAAACTCATTAATTTACTATTCCAAGACATTCAAGAAAAAAATGATTTTCACTTTTTTATATTCGCTCTATCCCGAAAACAACATCCCACTTTGACTTAGGCACATTCTAGTGGTAGTTAAAGTGGGAGTTGACTTTTTCAATAATATATCTACTTTGTGTTAAATAAAGTAAAGGGTAAGTATAGTTTTGAAGGAAATGTACCGTTTATTTTGGAACACCCGTTTAAGAAAACTGAGAGGCTGTTTTTGAAATGTACATTTTATTTACTTTATTAAATAAAACCACATTGCTGACATTCGTGCATTTCGTGTTTGATTTCTTTTTTACTAACAGTCCTCCGATGTGGCTGTTTGCAGTTTTCTTCCTTTTATTCAATACTCACGGTAAGTAAAAATAAGTTCTGTCATGAGTTAAGACTTAAACTTATTTATTCATGAGTGCAATCCATGTAGTGAATTGTGTTTCTCATGTATTAGCAACAAGGAATACAATGACCATAATTGAACTTAAATTGTTCTATAGGATCATACCTCTAAATCCCCCAACAACAAGGAATACATGCCTCATACACACACACACACACACAGTTCTTGAGTTTTATCCCGAAATAATGCGAATTGAAAATTTATTTATTAAATAGGGTCTGGTTAAAAGTATTTACGGATATACAGTTGGGCTTAACTCAGGTTAAGCAAAGTCGCCAAACGGTTTGGACTTATAAGTCGCCAAACCGCTTGACGACTTTGCATCTGCACCGGCAACACAAAAACAACTAAAAACAAGAAAAACACACCAGAAATCAGAGCAGAAACTAGAAACACATCTATTCACAAACACAATATAGATACAAAACAGAAACATCCAACAAACATAACTCAACACACCAACACAACATAACAAATGATTAAGTAACTAATAACATAATAACCAATAGTTTTCAGGTGGTCATACATAAAAAACAAAAAGTGATTCACAGACTGAAAAACTACTACAACATTTAACGAACATAAATACAAATAGGCTAATGTTCATAACATAAGATGCAACGAAGACAGGCTACAAGTTTTCATGATCGCCTTGGTCATTCAGATGTGGTTGTGGACGCATACGTCTATGCCACTGACGTGGCTGAAGAACAACTCTGTCATGGCTAAATGGTTGAGATGAAGTAGTTGTAGATGTAAATGCCGTAGAATACTAAGAGCAGGTCATTTGTAAAAGATGGTCATAGACTACTCGCCCTAACACATCGGAACACAACAAAGCAATGTCTGACATAACCTAAACGTATGTGTCAACTTCATGCGAGTCCCTCACCGTGGTAGTCGCTCGCTCATGTATACGCTGCAAAGCCCGTGTCTGAAATGTGCAACATGAATTATAATTATTTTCACATAAAAATGTTAAATAGAGAACATGAATAACTTTAGTAGCACACTTACCGTCAAGTGCAGAGCCATGGAACTAGGCTGATAATGGTGAGTAGGTAGCCTGAAAGAAGGGGAGACAAACAACCGTGTGATGGTGTAATACCATCTCATGTAGTCCAAAGAAACTGATGGCCGTAATGTTGGCGTCCCACTGACAACTAGCCCCGCTTGCCTCTCCCATATAGTGACGTATCGAACATGCCTGAGCGATCAATCCTCTATAGGATTCCCACGCCTATCCAACTTATGAATATCCACACATGTGTCAACAGATGTTGGAATGACCTGTTCATAGCCAAACGGACGTAGTACACAATCAGGTAAATGCTGCTCAACAATGTCAAAACATATCAATGGAACACGTGCTCACATCAAAACTCTCTAGCTTTGGAAAATACAACAACTAAACTTCATTACCACTCTTGTCAGCAAAAGTGGAAGCTCCCATCAGCATTAGAATGTATGCACGTGCATGCTGCTTAATCATCACATCATCTGCATCCGGAGGTAGTACAGTGAAATGCTCTCTAAACCATAACATCTTCAAAGATTACCCATGAATGTCTGTCCAGAGAAGGGGCGAATGCCCAATAATCGTCTAGTCCTCAACCCATGGTCGACATGCAGTACTTGCAGCTGCTCTCCCATGGACCTGTAAGCCAGAAGGTACATCCACATCGCCCAAGATCACTGTCACCTCACCAATTGGCAAGTGAAATGTGTGTGTCTCCTGCCTCTAACGCTCAAGAAGAGCAGTAACTAGAGCTCTATCAAGTGAGACCATAGATATCAATCTATGAACACAAAAAAACAAGTTACTCTAACATAGGCTAATATTCTATCGTCCACCTGCACATGAAACAAACCACGGAGGTGCTCTCAACACCTATCAACCGGCACATCGAGGCCATGCCACACGTCTTCACTCATATGTGTCACTTGCAATGTGAGGACATAAGCACCAATCGGCCCTAGATCCACTGACACCTCCATAGTGCCTAAAATACATGAGTACATGTGTTAACCATAAATTAATTAATAAATATACATAAATAACTCATTTACATATCATCATATTAGGGGTATTTGTGGAGTTAAGAGTTAAAACCTTACCCAATGGACCCCCCACCATCTCTTGATGATCTCTTCACACATGTTGCCCTATTATAGCCCGTTTGTTTACAAATTCCAAATCTTACCATACCTTTTTCACCTTCATCCATCTCATTCTTAATTCACGGGGACTTAGGACGTCCCTTCATACACACACACATACCCAAACATTACACACACAATGAATCAAACAAATAAATGTAATAATATTATAGCAATACTCCTGTTCATTATCTTTACACTTGGCAACACAAGTATATTAATTTAATGGTAAACATTACGAATAACACAAAAAATCATACATTTGAATTCCTAAAACTTATCTACCAACAAACCCTAACTTGGATTTAGGAGATGAAATTGGTCTTTGGAGTTACCTTGAAGATATATCCTTGGAGAAGATGGACTCTTGGAAGCCGGATTTGGAGAAGATGCCCACTTCGTTCGCTGTTGGCGTTAAGAGTGCTGCTGCGGAAGAATTTTGGGGTTCGGGGGATGTGTTCTGCGGCAGTTAATGTCATTGGTGGGCGACAGGATTTTAATTAAAAAGTTGCCAACCGGTTTGGCGACTTATAAGTCACCATCTGGTTTGGCGACTTTGAAGTCGCCATCCAAGTTGGCGGTTTTGCTTAACCATGGTTAGCCCAACAGAATATCCGTAAATAATTTTAACCCAACCCTATTCACGTAAATATTTCTTTAATTCACATTATCCCGAAAAAAAACTCCTAGTTCTTGATTTGAGTTAAGATATGATAAATGATTCTGTAATAGATAAATCTTTAGTCCATTGTAATGTGTACTTTATATCAATCTCACATAAGATCTATTATCTTTGACTTTACTCACATTTCATGCATAATTAGTGTCTTGCACATTTCTAGTTCTTTTGGTCAAATTTTGGACCCCTCTCAAGCAATTTTAAGTACCAAAATTTGAGAGGATGGACCACAAGTGAGAAATGAACAATATCATGTATGTAAAGTTTGGAAAGTTTAATACATGGACCTAATGTAGAATCACTATAATACTTATAGGAGCAAATAAAAATTTATTTGATAATGTTTATTTCTTTTTGCGCCCAAATAAACCACCAGAATTTGTGGGGTAAGAGCCTTTTAGTGAAAATAATGACAAAGTACAAACGCGACAGTACAAAGCTAAAGAAATAAGTTACGCTAATGAAGGAGATGCGAAAGAGAACACTGATGGAGAAATCACCTAGCAGACCACCTGAAAACTCGATATTTGCTGTCCCTAGACTTGAACATAATAAAATTCACCCTAAAAGCTTTAACTCAAAATTCACCCAATATTATCAATCTTAGCTTCCAAGATGAGCACTTCTTCTGGGCACAGAGTTATTATAATATTACTCCAATGTGTTTTTGTCCAATTGGAATATTGACCAATTAAATTGCATAATTAATAGATTTTTTTTGCACAGGCTGGTATTCCTATTTATGGCTTCCATTTCTTCCCCTGATTGTAAGTTTTCCCCTCTTGTGAATGGGTTGTGCGTGTGCATTAGGAAAACAATGTTTAACTTTAGGTTTATTGTAAAAGCTCAGCCTTTCATGTTTCCTAAAGTAAAGGTAGTCGATTCGGATAGTAATTGAGAAAAAGAGTTTATAATTCTCATGGAGATTTTGTTCACTACATAAGAGAATATTATGTGATGTAATTAATATATGAGTCTGGACCAACAACCCATGAGTATAGTTGTAAAGCAGGTTGAGAATTCGTTAATACAGGCTACCTTCTATCTCTGTAATTGCAGATTGGTTTATAGAGAACTAAATAAACTAATATTGTTGATCAATAATAAAAATGGCTATCAGGTAGTGAGAAAGTTGCCTATTGCGTAGCCCGTTTGTCCTCACTATTGGAGTACAGTACAAAATGCATGCATGTGTATATTAGAGCCTGTTTGGTAACACGAAAATCGACTGATTTGACTGATTTTGCTGAAATTTATGAAGTTCTGGCTGAAGTGGATGCATTGGCTGATTCTGCTGATTTAATAAAAAATATTTTTAAAATATATTTTATTTATAAAATAAATAAATAATTATACGTAAAAATAGCTAAAATGGTCATCTACAGTAACTTCAGCCAATACAGCCAGAAAAGTAACTTCAACATTACTTTTTCTTATTATTACACAATTCAGCGAGCGAAAACAAAAGTTACGTGTTTGGTGAAAAAGTTGGCTGATATGTCTGATAAGCCTAATAAGCCGAAAATAGTGTTACCAAACGGCCTCTGAGTTTAATGAATTATTTTATTTATGTAACAATAAAAACATAAATGAAATAGTAATATATAACATGTACAGATTATACTTTTGGTTGGCACCAAGTTACAAGTGATCATCACAAAGATGGGGCTAAGGATTCAGGATAGAAATGAAATTGTGAAGGGAGTTCCTATTGTTGAGCCGAATGATGATCTTTTCTGGTTCAACCATCCTCGACTCCTTCTCTTTCTCATTAACTTCGTTCTTTTTCAAGTATGTTTGCATTCATTTGGAATAAATTAAAATATGAAGTATAATTATGTTGTATTAGTTTTATTATTTTGATTAATCATCTCAAAAAATAAATGCAGAATGCATTTGAGCTCGCTTTCTTCGCTTGGACTTGGGTAAGCAAATGACAATCACTCAATGTCTTTTAGCACCCAATATATATGAAAAAAATACATCAAATAACTTGAAGGGGTAACTTATCTTTATGGTGATAAAAAGAAAAAAATTGACCCCATCTTTCTTTTTTATTTTTTTTCTTTTGGTGTGGGTGGATTTTCTAGTATACGTTTGGGCTGAGATCATGTTTCCATGACCATGTGGAGGATATCATTATCAGATTCGTAATGGGGTACAATGCCAGTCTTTTCTTAAAAAAAATCCTTTTTTTATAGTTTAATTAACATTATTGTTGGTAACACATGGTTTGTCTGGCTCTGCAGTGTTCTCATACAAGTTCTATGCAGTTACGTCACCCTGCCTCTATATGCCCTTGTGACCCAGGTAAACAATCATTCTTAACTACAAAGAGGGTATGGTTTATATGAGGGAAATTACTTTAATTAATATAATTTCTCTTTTCATTTTAATTTGAAACTTTTTGTTTTCATTCTCATCCAACTAAATGAATATGAGTATTTTGGCAAAACTAGATGTTTAGTATTAAGGGTTAGAGATTAACAATAAATTATCAAAGGGGTGGAGTTTCTTACTTAAGTAGATTCTTATAGTTTATAAATACCTAAGGTTCTTACTTAAGTATATTCTTGTACGTAGTATAATCTAAGGAGAGATATAAGAATGGATCTTGAGCGCTGGATTTGATAATTGTGTATTTCTTGATTATAAAATGTGCACTACCATAGATGAAAAAACGCAATGATACATTTATAAATAAAGCGGAGTTTTTATGTTGTTGCAAAATGTGCATTTTAGGCCTTTGATTGACAGTTCAACCATTCAGACCTTGTATCGATTATTTTCATTGTTCAAGTCTTGGATTGATAGTTAACTTATCTTTCCGGTCCTAGATTGATAAACCATTTTAGTCTTATTTTAGAATGTTACATATAGTTTACACACACTTTGAGCATTTTAAACGTCACAATGGGAATCTTACTTTCATCAATAATTTGAACTATACTTCTAACAAAAAATTTGCAATTCTTTAATTTGTGTTCTTGAGATTAAATTATTAACATGCAGTATATGCACAAATATGAAAAGTGTGACTACATTACTAAGAACTTAACAAAATCAATTTCGTCAACTCACTTAGGGACAAAATATATAGTCTAATATTGGGACTCAAGTAATATATGCATAATATGATGTGGAAAAACATGCAGATGGGTACCAATATGAAGCCAACCATTTTCAATGAGAAAGTTGCTACTGCATTGAAAGGATGGCACCACACAGCAAAGAAACGAATAAAAGATCAAAGTAATAAGAATGACAGCGCAAGCATTACTCCCACATCAAGCCGCCCAGGAACCCCATCTCGCCATGGCATGAGTCCGATGCACCCCCGAAATCGAAGTTACTACCAAAGTGAAATTGACATGATGAGTAGCGCTCAATCAACTGTGCATGATAAATCTGATTTCGATGACTTAAAAGAGAATTGGGGTGGGGCAAATGACAATGCTGATAGGATTGATAGCTCAAAATCTCCCTCTCGGTTGTTCTCCAACCATGGCGATGGACGACAATCACCACAGCATGAAATGTCATCCTCTTCTTCTTTGAACCACACGGCGCACAAGCATGATGATAATAATGTAGAATTAAAGATTGATGATGATACCACCACCTCATTGGAGATTACTCATGTGCCACTGTCGCAACGTGAGGTTAATGTTAAGGAACAAATCGATTTTTCTTTTGATAAAAGATTAGATTGAACTTGAGAAACTTAACAATGTATTATAAACAATAAAATGGCTACTTTTGATCCTACCAGTTTGGTGCACAAAAAGTTGGAGCAAACCAATCTTGTTTGACATGGAATCTTTAGGCGATTCCATATTATCCCTGTGACTCAGCTGCATTGAAAACTTGTAGTTCCATTTACAAAAATTAAAATAGCAGGAGACCAGGAGTAGTACCTCATAGTATCCTAGCTTATTATGTATGTAAACTGAAATTGCTGTTATAGTTGGTTAATGCAAATTTATTTGATAAAATAAATTCTTTGGCTTGTTTATTAAGTCTAATAGTTAAAGAACAATTTGGAGTTTTCTTAGGTATGTAATCTACCTATTGGATCATTAAAGAATCATTTGGTCAATTAAGTCTAACAATTACTAGTATAATTTTGCAATCTGTTAATTGAAGTTGTTGATAGAAGGAAGTGTTAACAACATAGTCCGCTTTAATTCTCTTTTTGTATCTTAGTCAATTTAGAGTTTCATAAAAACATTTCAGATGTAAGTTAAATGAAATCAGTTTAGTTCATTTTTTGTCAAAGCATTTTCGTTAGATTCTTTTGGAAAAATCATTAATATCATCAATAGTCTAAATCTATGATAATGTATTGTTTGATGTGAATTCAGTTGTATTTGGAATAATTTCTTATTTTAATCTTGTGCATTTGGCATTTTCTAGAAATCTTTTCAGTAGCAGAATTCTATTATTAAACTTAGTAGGTTATATGCAAAAGATTTGAACTTATATTAAATGATTATCAATTCCATTCTTAAAGAATTAATCCTCTAACAAGGCAGTGTGCAATTATTCCATGTCTGAAAATCAGAAAAAGATAAGTGTTTTGAAAAAAAAAAATTAATGATTGTTTTAATAATTGCAAAGGCTTCCAAAACGAATGCATTATCGCTCATGTTAAAAACTGTAAATGGAAATAAACCTGTACAGAAAAAAAGAGACAAGATCTCTAATACACTAATTTATTACTTTATATATTGGTAAAAAAATCAGCTCAAAACAAAAAAGAGCTAGATAACAACATTGAATAAACATTGTTACTTAGGGTACATGTTTGGAATTGATTTAAATTGGATTCCAATCTAGGGGGTACTTAGGGGGAATCAAGAATTAAATACATTCAGAAATAAAAATAAATAAAATAAATGCTAATGCTAGCTGTTGTTCACGAGTATTATTGATGAGGACTCAACTACGCGACTTTGGATTTTATTTTGACCATATACCAATTTACAGTGACTCGGAAAGTGCGATTGCTATCTCATGCAACCCAGTTCATCATTTTCGCACCAAGCACATCGACCTAAGATTTCACTTCATCAAGATCATATTGAGAAAGGTCATGCAGATTATGATTTTAAAACGCGCACAATTGTAGGAGGTGTAATTAATTTTATCTGTCATGTCAGTTAATTTAGTTTCGTTTATTTTATTGAGTCAGTTTCTTGGTCGTTCAATTTGTTTCCCTAAATTGTGCATAAATTTAGGGGGAGCGAAATTTTGTCTGGTCTGAGTGCTACAATTGAGGGGGAGTATTTATTTTTGTGTGTACGTATTTTTTTGTCTCATTAAGAAAATCACAAAACATTTTACTTTTATTTTTGAGTTTGTTTAGTGTTTTTTTATTTAGCAGGGTCAGTTTCCTAATCAGAAAAAGTCAAAAGATTCTTTTTCTTTTGTGGGTAGTTATATTCAGAATCATTTTTTCATCTCCTTCCTCTACTCTCAAAAATCTCCCAAGCACTCAAGAGCTCAATTTTTACCATCGTCTTCTTCGTCGCTCATCTCCAATCTACCCAAGGTTTTTATTTTTTTGTTGTTTGCATGTTTGTATATGTTTGTGTTGCACTTCTAAACGACGAAAAGAGTATCGACTACAACCTCCGACAACCTCTCTTGACGTCATTCTCCCATCACCAATGTTCATCTTCCATCATCGACCACCATTATCTTCCAAAAACAACATCCAAACCAAAGAACAAAAGTCGGAATCTCAAAATCAAGAAATCGAAAGCCTCGAAATCTTGATTTCGTGGCTCTTCAAAATCCTTAACCGACTTCGTCTCTCGAAATCCCCTCAGCCGAAATCTCAAATTTGAACTCCCCACCCCGAGATCAAACCCCATTTCCATTTACCCGAAATCCCTTCCTATAAGTTTCGTACCCGAAAACCTTACGCCCGAAGTCCTTAGACAAAGTCTTCACCTGACATTGTTCACCCGAAGTTTTGAGCCAAATGGAAGCCCGAGATCCTCTACCCCGAGATCCCAGAAGCCCGAATTCATATACCAGATATCTCTATAACGGAGATCACACAACCTTGTTTCTTAAAACACCAGAATTCAAGCATCCGACTTTCCTTAGTCAAATTCTTAGTCATGAGATCTCAAGCCCATTTATACTAATTGATCCAAAACTCAGCCCAATCACCTTTTAAACCAAACCTTAGCCTGAAACCATTCAAACTAATATCTATTTTATCTCTGCAGAACAGGCACTATGGCTCTAATTTCTGAGAAAGAGGTATAACCAAAAGAGAGTCGAATCGATATCAAAGAGAACAATTACCTACTAGACCTAGAAATGTTCAAATGCCAAGACATGATAATGGTCTCAATTCTCAAATGACACTCTCTATGTCCATCACTCAATCTCTCTACAAAAGTTCCCAAAATCTACCTGAAACAATTCTGGGGAACTATGCATTCTGTAACCGCTCCCATTCCTACCTTTGAAGCTACCATAGCAAACTCTACTGTCCAAATAACCCATGATACTCACAGAACCCTACTTCAACTACACACAACTACCCAATACGACCCTTTTCCCTCTGACCAAGACCTACTAGCTGATATGCTTAAGATTGGTCATCTACCACCTCTCACCCTTTTCTCACACTTCATAGCCAATTGTCTACCCAGACCCTGGAAATCTCTGTTTGCTATACTGAACAAGTGCTTATCTTCTAAGCAATCATGTCCATGATCGTTGCAATGTTCATGATCGTTGCAATGTTCATATTCTCAAGCTGGCCCATGGTGTGATGTTTGCCAAGAATTATGCCTGCGCACAACTAATCTAGTCTGAAATTCTAGAGCAACAGAGAGTTTGACAAAAAAGCTAAGTACATCCCATATGTACAGTGGTTCTCTATCAGAATAGATCACTTCATGAAAGAAGACTCCAACATTCCTACAAGGCCACCTACTGAGCTTCAAGAAATCCCGAAGCTGTTATACTTAAAGAAGTCAGAGAACGATGAATCAATGCAACCAATGCCAATTTCTGACGTTCTTCTCAATTTAGCTAATCAAAGTAATCCTCTTATTACTGCATATAAGGTACACATCTCTTTTGTTCCTACGACGCCATCAAACCCCACTGTGTTTACCCAAGAAACTTCTAAGCCGAGTAAAAGTAAGGGTCCTAGAGCGACAAAACCTAAGAAGAGGGCATGGCATGTGAGACTCAGTCCAAGAGATCTGATGTCTCCTCTTATAATATTATTGTTTCACAACCCCCAGTCACTACTATATCCTGAACTCAACCCATAGGCACAAGTTCTGACCTTGTCAGTTCCCGAGTAGAAGTCCCCACATTGAGTTCAATGGGGGAAATTCAACCAAACCTTGACTACTCGACTGTCTCCCAACAGATAGTTGTTTGACTCATACAAGGGGAACCCTTAATATTCAATGAACCGCCCTGCACTGAAAGCCATTGCACGTTAGGTCAAGTGCCCACCATTTCAAATGTTTTATCATTTTCTAGGGCACAACCTCAATCACACACTGATACTGGAATATTACCACCAGTCACAACAATCAGAGGTACACCTATGATGGTTGGAAGTTCTGCCACACTCATCTCCCCAGCAGGCCATAGCTCAGCAATTTATACTGATGTTTTGAGAACGAAATCTATGTTTAGATCTGGGTTTTCGTCTTTTGCTAGTCTTACTAGGAAGGATCTAAGGTCTAAACTCTTAACACATAAACTTTATCTTATTCAAGAACTGCGACCTGTAGACCCAACAGGCGTAGCAGTCCAAAGATCACACCCCACTCCCACTGATCCACTCTTATAGGATCTAATATGTCCACCCTACCTCTCATCACTACCTTGACCCTACCATCCACTTTACCACCTTTACCCATTACCACCCAACCTATTCCTACCCTATATATCCACACCTTCAACTTCATAATCCATCCCCACAAATCTTAACATCATAGATCTTTGTGAATACTTTCTCGACCGCCTCTTATCTGAAACCAACCTACCTCCCATCTCATACAAGTTTGCGATATCATAACATTTTACCCACATTATATCCGTCATTTTTCGTGATCAAGAACGCCTACCTAAGCGTAAGCATGATGACACCGATGATTCGGATCATCATGAGGGGGAGAGAAGGCCGCATACTTGTGAGCAACCATCGCTATAGTTACTTATCCTAGTTCATCTAACTCTGAACCATCATCTTCTCATAAACCTCCACCTTCACCATCTTCCGAAGCCTCATCTCAATCCTTGGCCTTAACTGTTTACAAACCATTCCCATTTCCTTCACCATCATCATCCTTACCTACACCCTCTATGCCAGGACTATGTGTCCTCACGAGAACTTCCATAGGCTCATCTACTATGGATGTTGACCAAGGATTGGAAAGAAGACCTGACAATGCAACATATGAATCACCACTATCTTCAGGCCATTAGAAAGAGCAAGTCTTTAGTATGATGACAACAGTAAGTCTTTGTGACCCCAGTGTTAGTTTACCCGTTACTGTTCCTTCATCGGTTCCTACAGCTACTACAGTTTCTACAAGTTCCTTCATTTTCTTCAGTCCCTACATTTTCAAAGCCATCGTCATCTAAACGATGATCATCATCAAAGAGAAAAGACAAAGCATCGTCAGAAAAATACAAATCACCATCAAAAGCTGGTCTGTTGTTAGTTGATTTGGCTGAACGAGATGAAAAAGATAATCTACAAGGACTAAGCAATGAAGAAACACTTATAAAGTTGAACTACATCAGAGAACTGAAAAAGAAAGCCATTGAAGAGTTAATGGAGCTTGAACCTG